ACACATTAATCCTACAGACAATCCTGTTCAATTCTATGACAATGAAAGGATATTCACCCTTCATAAAAGCTATTCCAGCACGATGTAATCTGCAGATTAATGGCACATTTTGCCAATCTGCCATTCAATACAACTTTTTTTCCCCCATTCTATAAGGCTTGCAAATTTGATCCTCCAACCAACCATTTTCTAAAGTTGTTGACCTTTACAGTTACAGATAATGAAAAATACAGATCATCTTTTAAACATCATCTTTCATTAATAACAAAGATTGATGATTCAGTACAGAACACATTAATCCGAACATCTCAACACAGGAGTTAACTGTTTATTTGCACAAACAGGAAGCGTTTGTGGCTTTTCTCTTAAGCTGTTCATTCCATCACACATGAAGCTGAGCAAAAGGTCAAAGCAAAATTGGTGATGTTTGACATCTCGAACTGTTAACATCCAGCCGATCCAGTTTTGACACCGTGTCGACTTCCCTCTTTGTCAGAAAGACAGACTATATCAAACCTCCGTGCAGCCACCGCACATTAAGTCATTCTTATTCAACAGAATCCGTTACAATTATTGTTATAATTAAAGTGAAAACAGGTGGTGTTAAATGTATTAAACAGCATGCAACAATGCTGCTGCTAATGCACAAATAAACACCCTCTACAGTGTGAATGAGGGATGGTTGTATCCGATGCTAATCTGTGCCTTACAGTACCACCAGGGAGTACATTTTTAGTATGAATACTCCCAGTTGGACTCAAGCCCACAGCGCCCCCCTCACATTTGTCTTACTGTATGAAGCAATCCAAAAATCACAGCTGTCAGCTACGTGCTGATACAGCTTGACTTTTTTTTTTTTAGATGCATCACTCAGAGAAAACATGTCATCAGTCTGAGACCCCCTTCATGCCGCGAGTATCCTTGAATTGACCCTTAATATCCAAGATGCCAATCATAGAGAACACTCTGCTGCTCTGTACTGTAGGAGGGTGGGGTGAATCTTTTTTTTTTTTTTCAACCAGTTGCAGCTGAAAGCTTTTCAAGTGAATGAGAGCATCACAGGAGACTGACATGTAGAAAACATCTCACATTTATATGCATCTGCTTCACAAACTATTGTAGGCCTATACTGTATGTAAAACCGACCACTAAAAGATAAGTCAGGGCTCATGGTATGGCTCCGTCAACCTTCAGTTCCTCTGTTGGAGTAGTAACGCTCCATCCATACCTGTGTGAAACAACCAGCTCATGCAGCACATCTGTATCAGCATCTCTAAGAGACACGTCTTTCAATCGGGAAATCAATCAATCTGGAAGTAGCCCAGGTTTAGCATGTGCTTTGACCTTTGGAAACAGGCAGGTGTCAGGTAAAAAAAAAGAACATATTTACAAGCACAGGGTTTCAATGATATAATGCTTCAGCAGACTCAAACTTGACCAAGCTGACCATTACACCCTATCCCCTTAGTGATTCAGCCCACTGTACATCAGTGGTTACATCCCTCTCATGCCGACCATGTAGCTTTGATGATGAGCCCATCCAGATAACATTCAGGTCAAGTCCAAGTGACTATACAGCACATTTCTTCGCACAACAACAACAAAAAAAATTAAAAAAATAGAAATGCGAGAGCAGGACATCATTAGTTTTCCGTTTGGCCCACTTTCTAAGAACATAGAATTCGTCAAAACCTAAACATTACACATGAAGCAACCTCGCCAAACAAGTAGGTCAATGAAATGTTCTGTTATCTCTCAATGTCAAAAGCAAGTCAAGTGACATTTAAGACGTAGATAGATTTGACAGCCTCCTAATAACGCCCCGGATGAAGCAAACCGATTGAGGTTTAAATCCACAGTAATGCAGGGAAGATGGTAAAGTGGGACACACACACACACACACACAACACCACATCATGTGAAAAAAAAAGGTCGTGTGCAGTGCTGTTAATATGAAATGTTTCCAGCGCTTCTTCTTGCTGAGCACAAAATCGCGGTCCGGCTCCCCGTTGTGAGCCCATTTGGGAGGAACAGCACCTTTCAAACAAGCGCCAGGGTTTAAAAAAACACACACTCACACACACAGCGAATAAAAGACGAAGGCGAAATCCTACCTGATGACTGACTCGTTAATGCATGCGACTGGTCTTGGATGTAGGCTGGACGACACACACGCACACACACACATACACACACCACCACCACCACCACCACCACCACAAGCGGGTCAGCTCAGCCTGCCTTTGCCTCCTCCACGGCATCAAGCCCCTCCTCGTTTATCGTACAGAGGAGAGAGATGGGGAGGGAAAGGGAAAGAAAAAAAAAGAAAAACGACTGCATATCTATGCGCTGAAAAAGGAAGCGGCGTCACACTCTCCCGTGTTTTCTGATAATCACAGATCAAGATTGATGATGGACAATATATATATATTTTTTTTAATTAAAATGAGCTATTCTGAGAGATGATAAAGACCTGAATGCACATTTAAAGATGAACGCATGAAATATTCGAGTGACTGAATTCTCTTATTTTGAAAAGGCTTTGGATCTGTGCGGCGAAGTACACCTGCCGAAAGCGCGTCAGCAGATCAACCATCAGCAGAGGACAGTCGGTGTTCCTGTGGTTTTTTTTTTACCACTTTGACAGAAAATCAATGGCACATGGAAGATTATGTTACAACTGGCACCCTGTCTACATCTGGAAATATGACACAGTATCATGCAGTCCATGTCAAAGTAATGATCTACAAAATAACCTGTTAGGATTTTTAAAGGCAGCCTGGCAGTTTTTGGAAGATCTTTTCAAGCAGACTGGTAAATACAAAAAAAAAAAACAACAACATGTAGGCTACTCCTATTCAGTTTGCAGAGAGATGATTATTGTTGGATTAACTGCTGTACAAAATTGTTTGCAAAAAAAGTGAATATTAAATCTTTTGGATCCGACGCGGCCTACATCTCTGTTGGTTTATCCTCTATGTGGGTGTACGGTTACTTAACCTGAGCATATACTGCCCCCTTGTGGAGATACTCAAGCATCAATGCAAAGTTAAGACAGAACAATTGAAAGAAGGCTTGGGCATCAAGTTTAATTTAGCAGCTACATGTTAATATATATTACTTCCCTCCTATTCTATCTATCTATCTATCTATCTATCTATCTATCTATCCTACATATCAATATAATCATTATCAACTCTCTCTCTGGTCTGGTTGGATATTTGACTGATTTGTACTTGAACAGAACTTCAGAAAATGCTGAGCAATTTCCTATAGCCTACTCTGTTGTTGATAGCAACTATAGATAAAGATAAAGATAAATGTATTGATCCCCCATGGGGGAAATTTGTGCATTACAGTAGCTCAAGAAAACAGGGGACGGGAATATAATTATTAAAAAAAATAGCTATATAGACAACAATAAGTCTGTTAATTAGAACACATGTATCAGGTTTGGTTAAAGTACACTTGCACACTATAGAAGGTGGTATGTCTGAACATGTGTGAGATCTCAGTCTCATTATCTCCCTATGGTTTATCTCAATGTCAGTTTTTACATACAAGAGGTTTGTTAGGTGCAGAGTGTCTGAAAAGTACGCCTTATTAACTGATGTGACGTGAACATTTTGGAAAACATTTCCTAGAATTTACCTCACTCAGGACACTTTGCTGGTCTAATGTTAGCCATGACATCATTATGTCCTTAAGTGCCCAGTGACACATGGTAACCAAGTTACTGCACTTGAACCTTGGCCAGCGCCGAGCGGAGCTTCTTTACATGATCCCTCCACTCCCCGACCACTCTTCAAAGCAGAGCAAATTAAATCCAAAGGACAAAGTTGAAGGGACTTTTCTTATATGTGTTAGGGTCTCATGTTGTAAACATAAATACAAGCATACTTGTCATCATCGTCACATTGATTTTTTTAGTTAAACTTTTCAAGTTTGTTTTCAAATAACTTCTGGGAATGATAACGGTGAATTCAAAGCACGGCAACAGGTTTTCCAATACTGAACCCATATTGGTAACAGCCATCTGTCGTGTATTTTTGGTGACTATTTGTAATACAGCTGCTTCATCTCCACCACAAGAGGGTAGCACTGACATGACGATATTTAAACAAAGGCTGAACCCCTCAAGGGACAAAGTTCTGTGTGGATGTAATAAATCGATGTTGTAATTGTACCCATTAACACTGATGTTTACTTAAAAAAAAAAAAAACAGCACTGTTAAAGAGACAATACAAATAGTTCCCCACAGACAACACTAGTTCTTTAAAAAAGCTGAAGGGTTTGCTCATGAATTCATCATTTTTACTCACTATATGTATACTTAATATAAAAATTAATTGTATACGTAAGTTGTACCCTCGACAAGATTATTTTAAATATTTGAAATCCCAGACTTACAAGACTGTGTGACTGGGACAACATGAATAAGTAGTTTGGTAAATTCTGTCTTTGGTTCAAGTCTTTTGGTAATGAAATGTGTTTCTAGAACTGTTATAACAGTTATGAAAGTAGGCCTAAAATCAAATCAATAGAGTGTTGGAGTAAGAAGAAATACAACTAATTTATTCGACAGTTCTTCCAGTAAGACAATAATTAAAATGTAGCCATCAGTTGCAAGTTTTAAAACATATTAAGGCTAAGCTTCATTATTTGTAGCTCTAATAAACTCAGTAAAACTAGGCCAGCTCCAACCCTCAAAGGTATTGGCACTAAAAAGCTAGCAAAAATCATTAATCATTTTCATCTTTATCAAGTGATCTTGTAGATGTTAAAAGAACAAGATCACACACGCCATCTGATTACAACTAATGAAAAAAGCAAAGTGCATTGAAAGCCCAATGTTTGTCTAACAACGGTCAATTACTCAAAGAAGTGACGTAGCATTCGAAACAGTACACTGGCTACTACTGCGGCTCTGGACCTCTGTTGTGGTTTGGATATTTCCATGGGAACCTGTGGCTAAGGAGCGAGGGAGGATCCTGTTTGAGCAGCAGAAGGGGGTGGGGGTTAGATTCACTGGTTTTCTGCTTGATTTAAACTGTCTACGTCTCTCAAAAAGCCACAGATGTGCTGGTCTTGACAAAGAGAGGACCTCCATCTGCTCTCCAGAAAGCTGTGCAGTATTCTCCCCACAGCCTGAACTTTTCCCTTCATTCCATCCTGTTCAGGACAAACTGGTGGATTATCTATTTCTTCGGATAAAAAGGTAAGAAAACCAAAAGTTAGTGATTTAAGATGTGACGGCCATTTTTTAAAAATATGACAGACTTTTACATGTGGTTGAGTTTTAGAACAAAATGCAGAAACTTTAAATTTTTCGACCATTTGTTTTTGCAGCGTTTCGCAATTTCTACCAGAGGACCCATGTGGGTGGTGGAGAAGATCCGCGTGTCTGTGGAGAGATCTAACCTGCCTATTCCATCAGCGGAACTCAGCTTTAAAATTAGCGACATTATGTTTGGAGAAAAAGCCGACAAAGCCAAAAGGATTTCACTCTGCCCTAACGTCATCACCCCTGACAACATCCCGGAGTTCTGCATCCCCCCGACCATCCCGTCCCTGCAGGACCTGAAGAATACTGAGCAGGGTCGAGCTGCTCGTATCATCAAGGTGTCTCCCTGCGAGAGGGTGAACCCTGAAATAGAGGTGATGCATCATGAGCCCCTCAACCCGCACATCATCCAGGTGGAGAGTGTGGACGAGAGCCCCTACGACGGTTGTAGTGATGAGGAGACTACCAATGCAGACCCCCAGAGCCAGGCTGCCTTGTCCCTTCCACACATGGCCAAAGCTCAGACCTGCTACGGCTTCTGCACCTTACTGGAGAGCCCCCACACCAGGAGGAAGGAGTCGCTCTTCCACTCCGATCCCGGCTCCTCTCCCCTGCTTTTGCCCAGGAGTCACTCCAGCATGTGTACCAAAGCATCCCCCTCCACCTCGCCCTCCTCCTCTCCTTCCTCTTTCAGTCTTCACACCCTGACCTCCAGGCTTTCCCCAAGGGGATACACGCTGAACTGGCAGGCCACTCTGGACAGCGACACCACGTCCTCTACCGAATCCTCGCCTTTCAGCTCGCCGCTGCTGACCAGGTGCCCTGCCAAGTCTTCCCTCTTCAAAGCACTGAGCCATGAACTGCTGTTGTCAAGGAACATGAGGAAGGCAATGGTGTCCAGGAACAATTCCCTGTCCACAGATGAAGGCAGCTCCACAGACAATAGCCCCAATGTCATGAGGAGGGCGTCTGAGGGCTTAGTCGATGGCCTGCCCAGCAGCTACAGCCTGGCGCCTCCTACCATCTTCCCTGTAGACTTGACTCTGCACAGAGAGAGGGCAATGAAGGAGAGAATGGTACCCATAGGGAAAGGCGGCAGCCTGAGACTCTCAGCAGAGTACTGCCCGGAGAACCAAAGACTGCGGGTTCGACTGATCAGTGCCGAGGGCCTCTATCCTCTCTCTGTAGACCCCAAGATCATCAACTGCAGCGTTAGCCTCTGTCTGGTTCCCGGAAAAATCCAGAAGCAGCGCAGCACAGTCATCAGAAAGAGCCGAAACCCCATCTTCAACGAGGATTTCTTCTTTGACGCTATCTCAGAGTTGGACGTCAGCCAACGCTCCCTTCGCTTTAAAGTTGTGAACAAAATGTCCACCCTGAAGAGAGACTATCTCCTTGGTGATTGTGATTTGCCTCTTTCAAGTATTGTGACATTATAAAGTACTTCCTTTATTGACTATTTATGTATTGAATTATTTATTTTCATTTTTGTATTGTACATTTAGATTTTATAAAGATTAAAGTATTTCAAACCCTAGATAATATTTGTCTGTTTTTAATACATTACACAATATGCAAGTCTCATGGTATCATCATAAACTGTGTCTGCACAGACTTATTGGAACAGCTCAACCAATTTCTCCATGTGGAGTTTTAGCATGCAAAGCTCGGGAGGAAGATAATTTCAGAAAAAAAGCTCATCTTCATCTTATAATTGCTCAAAAAACAAATACAAATGTTATTTGTAGAACATTTCCTTAGTGTCCATGTGACTGCAGCATCAACTGGAGAGAGACAACAACCGTCTCATGTTTCCTCCAGAGCCTGTTGTTTTCTTCCTGACCTTTCTGATGATTAAAAATATCATTAGAAACAGGTAACCTTAGAGGGGAGTTTTCACCGTTGACTATGCATAATTATTATCAGTGTACAAAAGACATCCTATCTGCTTTTTCCACACTGCGATACAGAAAACGTTTGTGTCATGAAGAATGAACAACAACTCGAGCTTTAATTAAATTCGACACTCGTCATGTTGACTGAAATGTGTTTTCTGAACATTTTTTTTTTCAAACAAGTCAACTTATTAGAGGAAAATATCCGTCAAACTTTACACTGCTTTGCTCAAAACTTCCTTTTAGTATTTCTTTTCAATAGCCATGCACTTAAAATTGTATTGGAAATAGTGCCTTTACTTATTGTAATCCACTTTGTGCAAGTTTTTGCTACCCCTATCTCTGGATGAAAGTGTCTATTAGACCTAGAGTTTGAACTTCATTTAGTTGAAAAGCAAAAATTGAAGAATTTCACAGTGTCATTTCTGAATAAACTCTACTGCTCAACTAACAAGCAGAAAGAGTATCAACTTTTTCAAAAAACTACAGAGTAAAAATTACCATATTGATGTCTCTGTGTAATATATATATATATATATACACACACACACACACACACACACACACACACACACACACACACACACACACACACACACACACACACACATGTTTACCCAACTTCCCAGAGCAGCAGCTCTTACTGTGGACTCCAGTCAAGTATATCCTGCCGCTTTCAGCAATAAACATCAGGCTTTGAAAGCACTGGCTTCCACTATAGCTCCTAGTTAAAGATTAATAGGTTTCTCAGGGCTCAGAAAAAGCTCTGATAGGGGACTGACAACTGCTGGTTATACAGTGTATGACAGAAAAATAACATACGTTAATGTGAAAGATGGGAGGCATTAAATAACAATAAAAAAATAGCTGCTGCTGCCAAAGCTATAATAATATACTCATGGGAGGTTGGTATTAAGGCATAAAGAACATAATAGGGCATGTTTTTTAAAGCAAATATTTCACTATTGAGCCACTGAGACGAGCCTTTGGACAAATACGGCTCATGATCCACTTTGCGTCTGAACATAGACCTGCAATCCTCTCCCAGTTGTTATGACAGAAGTAAGGGTTTAGTGTTTGAACAATACAAGCTCTAATAAACAAGCTTTAGTGTTAGAGAAGCATCTTCTTTTCTTTACAGGACACATAAACATCCCACATACACACACATACACAGCCTGAATCTGTTTCAACAATACCTCTCTGAATGTGAATGTGTTTTCAGATCCTGTGAAGAGGCTGATACTGTTGGACACTTTTGTATTGAGTGTTGACTCAGCTGTGAAATACCCTGTAATAAATGACAACTACCCCTTGATTTCCAGTGCTGGTCAACCACTGATAGGATTCAGGGGGGGATTTCCACGGGTTTACCTGCGTTTATATTGCTGGTTGGTTACAGCAGCATCAGGGCCCTTGTTTCAAGCTGGCACCGCCCGCACATAGATGTTATCTATCAAGGAGAGCAGAATAAAAACATTAAATTAAGGCGTGTCAGCAATTATTATTATCTTTCCGATCAAATGAAACAGGCACGTGAACCTCCGGGAAGATCGCTATCTCTGAGACAACTGTATGCTCAGTGTTGACCTAATGCTGCCCTGAGGGTAAGTCCAACCAATAAAGTCATTCAATATGTTGTTTATATCAAACACCTTTAAAGTCTATGAAACCAAACACTCTACAAATAACATTTTTGTTGGTGTGATATTTGCCATAGAACAGATAAACTGTCTAAATATGAAAGAGAAACGCTGCAACGCTGAGAGATTGACATACAAGTTTGATCTCTTTGTGATGAATTTGCAGTGTTCTTACTTGATTGCAGATGACTTGCTGTGATATATTATCAGTAGGAAACATCTGTCTCTTTAAAAGCGGTGCATCATGAATGTAAACGCACAACAGGGGAAGTGCACCGTTTAATCTCAAGTGTCTGAAACCGTTGCCTAGTTACCATCGTTCACCAGGATGCCTCTGCCAGGCTAATGCACATTAACAATTTCAAAGTGATGAGCATTGTAAAATTACGAGGCATATGAGATAGTTCCAAGGTCCTTCCATCCAGCTTTTGGTTGCCTTAAAGCCGGTTAAGTGTTCTCTTGTTTCTTGTTATGGAAAGAAAATGTTTTCATACCAAGAAACACAAACTGTCCCCTTCCCCAACAAGATCTCACTGGTCTGTTTTAGAGCTTCCTACGTAAATAAGTCTGTTCAAACAAGCTTTTCTTATCCCACTTTCTGTTTTTCCAGGCTCCTTTATCAGTTTAAAACACAAAATGTCCACCTTTAAATGTCAGTGTTTGACAAATGGAGTCACCAGTAGGGCGTTTCTCCCTCCTCATCACGTTCCTACTTTGGATAAGAATTTCTTTGGAATGGAGTGAGGCACGTTGACCTCATTTGTAAAATGTTATTTAGCTTCTATTCAATGTCCTTTAAAAATGGCCTTCAGATGTTACATGCAGGGTGGTGTCAGTCGACTTCTAATAATCATAACAGGAGACTCACCTACAATTTGAGAAAAGCAGGCTGCTTACATCTTATATGTTTGATATAAGATAGATAAATCCTTTAGAAGCCACATTTGATCCTTGTTTATAATATGCAACAATGATAATGTTTTCACCCAATTACAAGAGATCAAAACATTCCATGATGTCAGCAGTGATGCTCAGGGGGATTTTTTTCTCTCTCTCAAAGCTGTGACATCACTGTCAACGGCTCACTCTTCAAATCAGTAAACACTGCCATGGATGCTCATCTTTGCGCCAGATTAGAGGAAGTTATGAACAGGCTGTATGCTGTGTTTAAGGTGCGTCATTAGTTTGTGAGGTGACACATCACTTTAGAAGAAACCAGATGTGATTGACAAGACACACAGTCATAAACACACACAGGCAATGCCTGATGATGCATTAAACTGGCTGCAGCCTGCCGTATTTATTTAGAAAAAAGGAGGTAGTTATACGCACATCAGGGCAGGGCAGTGCAAAAACAGCAAACTGTGGAAGGAGATAGGCCGGCACACTTGTTCAAATACCACAAAATAAATGTTTTAATTAATTACAAAGTTTGAGCAGAGGTCTTCTTCAGGTGATTATTCTTTCATGCAGTATTTATTTGACATAAAATATGAGAAAACTCATGTGAAAACATTGACATCTTCTTAAAACATATAGCTAAATGTTTAAACACGTTGTGTGATTTCCCAAAATTATAAAAAAAAAGCAATATTATTTTGTAGGTGCTTTCTTTTTATTGGTATTTTCGTAATAAGAAAAGGGCAAAGAAAAGAAACATGGACCATACATAAGTGAAAAAACACAAAGACAAATCAGAGTTTTTCAGTCAGGGTGGGATACATTCCGTACAGTATATAGTCCATTTCCTTCAGACCTTTATATATTGGTCAAATTTGAACCTTAATGAAAAGTTTAGTCTCTCCATGCAGTGTATTTCTTAACTATTGCTAACCAATCATCCACTGATGGCGGGTTTACCTGCAGCCACTTCCGTGTGATGGCTTTCTTAATAGCAACCAGAAGGATTTTATAGTGTGACATGAGATTGTCCGGGATTCTGCCCAGGTATAGTATGATAAAAGAGCAGTTCACATTTATTCAAAAAATCGTACTCATCACTTCTGCGACCTACTTCCAAAATGGCTGCACCTGTGATCAACCCCAAAGTACATGAACGTGATCTGCCATTGATTAACCACATTGCCTCCAACATTGGTTCTAACCCCGAGAACCCTGCTGCAAAAACGTCAACTTCGGAGTTATGAAGAGACATATGAAGTTCTTCCAGCAGAATTCTCACCAGGCCGTTAAACAGGTTGTTGCGGTCACCTGATTGTTCAAAATGTCACTCCAGTCGTCTTCAGATACCTCCTGGCCGGATTCCTTCTCCCATTTCTTTCTGAGTAGTCGAGTGGTTTTTGGAGTTTTGTAATCCCTTACATATCAGTAATATTAGATGTTTCATACCTCTACCCTTATATGCCACAATTAATATGTTAATTAAGTCAGATTTGCTTTCTTCTGTCTTTTTGATTGCTTTGTCAAAATGGTTATGTACATTTTCAGGTCAGGTCATAAATACTAGCAAGTGCAGTAAGCAGTTACACCCTTGTGTGCCCAGAGTTTAAATTTAATCTCTAAACCGGATGGTATAAAATCGGAGATGTGAGACACACATTTAAGTCTTTTTATTTGCTTCTCAAGGTGAAACCTTTTGCAGGTCTTGAACCACACCCTAAGGGCCAGCTTAGTCTATTGATATAGTTTACGCAGGTATGAGTCCCGGTTTTGATAATCTCCCAATTCTAAATAAAATAGAACCAGTTCTAAATAAAAGTATTATTATGCTGACATTATTTGTAGGTCTGAAAAAAAACCAGTTCATGGTTGACTCACTCCAAATATTTGATTACACTAGATACATTCAACTGTATTTACTTTTCTAGTTTCTCACTGTCCACTCCCTCTGCCTTCGTGTTGCCACTTAAAACATCAGCTGGACAATAGAAAAAAAAGAAACTTGATGCAACTGCCCTACATGCTGTTATTTGTATAGACATTGACGGTTTATGACAAGGCAACGGAACAAACTGTGCTGCATCTGCGC